GTTGACCCAAATTTGTTGATAATGAGGTTTAGTTAGTTGTTAGAATTTTTGATTCGGAAGTGCAAAGGGGAAGTACAGTAATGAAAGAGGGGCAGGGGAAGCTGTGAAACTTCCATAGATTTAGCAATGAATTGAATGGAGGGGTAAAAAGGGATTCATGTAGCCGACGCAAATTTGTTGAGAATGAATTTAGTTTGTTGTTAATAAGTGTTGATATTGCAATGCGAAGAAGTAAATTAGTGAAAGAGGGGCAGGGGAAGCCGTGAAACTTCTATAACCTGGACGAGTTGTCAAGTGGTGCCATTAGCACCATTTGTTTTAGTTTTGCCTCACTTATGTACTGCATTACTAAATTCAGAGAAGTGCATAGTTTATCCATTTGTAGCTTTAAAGTAGAGAGGGGCAGGGGGAGCTGGGAAGTGGCTGGAACTTCGATGAGTTGTTGAGTAGTGCTTTTACCATCGCTCTTTTCAGGTCCTATCCATTTATGTACTGCATTATGATTTTGGAAAAAAACCAATAGTATATGAATTCCTGGCGCACACAATGAAGGGGAATTTTGACAAGAGACTAGCAATGTGTTTATTTTGTCATTGGTGGTAATTATCTCGAAACTTCACTAGTAGGAAATCCTTACAATAATATTGTTAAAACCTGTTTAACTAAGGCATAATATGTCAAAAAATATAGTAGCTAGTTGAGATAGATATAGGTTTAGAGGATAATTTAAGAGCATGTCTGAGTGATTCTCAAACAATCATATTAAACCACATATTCTCCAAAAAAATATATTTTCACGTTTCATAACTTTTTCCAACTTTTTAATTACACTTTCTTCAAAAAATCTCTCCCACACAAACGCTAAATGAACAAATTTGTCCATCTTCTACTAGCTTAAAACTTTAGATGGATGGTTCAACATGTTATCTTGAGTTCAAGTTTCACTATCACTCAATTATGAAAAATTGTGCACAAGTAAGCCTTTGATGAGAAAAATAAAATAGGCCTACACTGCGAGGGCATATTGAAAAAATTCAAATAAATAAATTTGTCACTTCTCTAACAGTTTAAACTTTTAGATGAGACATGTTAACAATGGGGATAGAGTTTAACTGTTTTAACTTAAATTTTAACTGATCAAAACTGCACTAGTAGGAAATCTTTACAATAATATTGTTAAAACCTGTTTCACTATGGCATAATATGTCAAAAAATATAGTAGCTAGTTGAGATAGATATAGGTTTGGAAGATAATTTAAGAGCATGTCTGAATGATTCTCAAACAATCATTTTCAACCCCACATTCTCCAAAAAAAAAAAAAAAAATTATTTTCACATTTCATAACTCTTCCCTACCTAGTACCTACGGAGCGGTATTTTTTCGCGCAATTGCTAAAGCGTTTTGTCTTGCTATGGCTACACATTCTCCAAAAAAATATCTTTCAAAAATCCCTCCCACACAAAGGCTAAAGGAATAAATTTGTCCATCTTCTATGAACTTAAAATTTTAGATGAGATAGTTCAACATGGTATCTTGAGCTCATGTCTCACTGCCACTCAATTATGAAAAATTGTTTACACTTTTCTGAGAAAAATAAATTAGGCCTACACTGCGAGGGCACGTTGAAAACAATTCAAACAAATAAATTTGTCCTTCTTTAACAGTTTAAACTTTTAGATGAGACGTGTTAACAATGAGGATGGAGTTTAACAGTTTTACCTTTAAATTAACATTATATGTTCCCATCTCGTAGAATGGAAAACCAGCCGCTGATGCTTCTCTTGTGGGAGGAGAGACTGAAGCATTGCTGAGGCTGAGAAAATTTGCAGCGGAATGCAAAGCAAAACCACACAAGGGATCTGAGAATGGGGCTAACGAGAGCATATTTGGCGCAAACTTTTCTTGCAAAATATCCCCATGGCTGGCCATGGGATGCATTTCTCCTCGCTCCATGTTTGATGAGCTGAAGAAGTCTACTTCAAGGTATGATAGAGTAACTTATTTTATTTCCTCCTCTTTTATAAGTTCCACGAGGTGAATACATGGTTCCTCAATTTAATGGATGCTTTGTGATTTTCAGTCTATTTCCTCCTCTTTTATAAGTTCCACGAGGTGAATACATGGTTCCTCAATTTAATGGATTCTTTGTGATTTTCAGTCTAATCTCTGCTTCCTACAACAAGAAAGATGGTGGTAGTAAGTCATCAGATACTGGAATGAACTGGCTAATGTATGAGCTTCTGTGGAGGGATTTCTTTAGGTAAATTGATACGTATCAAGCTCCTTTCAACATTCTTAAATATAATATACTTGTAGAATATCATGACAGAAAAACATGAGATATAGTACTCTCCAGTTTCCATATCATATAGAACCTTGTAACTATGGGTGTCAAAAGTGCTGGGCAGACCTGCACGGCTAAGCTTGTGGTGTAACACGCTCCATGCCTAATGTTGTTTATTTTATGCAGAGGCAGATGCCCTTGCATTACTTAAGAAGCCTGTATATTTAGCCGGCAAGCTGACTTCTGGATTGCAACTATATGAAATCTGCATTGATATTTTTATTTCTGGTTTGTCAGATTCATCACCCGGAAATACAGTTCTGTGAAACAACACAATGATGCTCCGGTGACAGCTTGTTCAGGTGCTGCAGCCTAAGGAGAAAGTAGATGAAAAGTAAAATGGGAATTGAGATGACGTTTTCTTTTGTATCCTACTGTTTTATCAGGTTTGTAGCTGTTCGTTGCTGAAATGGGGCTCTATTATTAGACAGTTTCTTACCGAAATTGTGTTTGTCTGCAATAATAAGCAATGAACATAGTTGTACCATTACTAAGGCTGTTAGTTTCTGACTTTTTGGTTTTTATTTGCCTTGTCTGGAAGCAGTTCATTTGTTTCCTGTTGTTTATGATATGCCATATGTTTAAACAATAAGAGAAGATTATATCAAGCATCTGTTTGAAGGCTTTTTTTTTTTGAAAAACATTGTTTTGAATAATAAATTTTTTGAAGAATGTGTGGTTAAAAAGTAAGAAAAATTTTTGAGTTTATGTGTAGAATAATAAAGTGTGAATTTGTAGTTGAAAATGAGTATGTAGAAAAAAGTTTTAAAAGAACGAGAAACAAACAGGAATCAAATCATCAATAGACTATTGTCCATTTTCAAATCAAATCCATGCAACTGAGATTCTCTTTCGACTCTCATCAGTCCTTTACAATACGAATTAGCAAAATCAATATGTCTTTTTGTGAATCGAGTTATTTCAAGTTGCACAGCGTAAGGTCCAAACAGGAAAGCCCATGTTTCATACTCTTTTGGAGCTAATTGAATTGTAGTTTGGATTCCAAAATTTTCTATAAATGCCTTGTAATGTTAATTTAAATTTCCAATCTTTGATGCAATGAAATAAATGTTTAAAAAAAAAAAAATCATTAATCAAGAAACTAAAGGTGATTTAACATTAAAATCCATAATCTGCAACATTTGAATCCTAAGTATATAGATGGAAATGGGAAAATCAAATGATGCCAGAAACTCTCAAAGACGACAACGTGACAAAAATAAGCCATAGTAACATGAAATACGCACAAGTAATCCAAGCCCAAAGTTTTGGACCTCCGAGTTCTGCACCAAAAATAAGACGCCTTAATACCAAAACCCCGATACAGCCTACAGAAGTCGAGAAGAAAACGAGCAAAGAGTAGCTAAGTCCCTCTGCATTCTCTATCTGCAATGGTTCCCTGTACGCTATGAAGTTGTACAATGTGTCGATGAGCCATGGTATGCCAATGCCCACATAAATGTTCACAGAATTGCTACAAGAACAAAAATAGCGAATATATCAGTGCATTCTTTGCAGCCAAATTCCATTTAATCACCGAATTTGCAGTTTTTCAAGAATT